CCCTGAGTGTATGGTGAACAAGCCCAGGGGTCACAGAAGTAGGGCATCCCCCCCCCCCAGCCACAATGTCCCAAGGGTTTCCGGGAAAGGGTCTGACTGTGGGCATTAAAAGTGTGTCAGCAAGCTGGGAGATTCCATGCCTGTGGATAAAATGCCTGTACAATTCATAGAATTCTTGCAGACTGCACACAGTACTGTACCATTTGGCTCGCCCATGAGGCGTCGCCAAAAAACACCTCTCATCCTAACTGTCTAAAACACAACATGCAACAGTCCTTCCAACAGTCTCATTTCTATGCTTATTTCGTATATCGTATTGCTACGGTATAATAGTTTGTATATGTTGCACATCAGTGATAGCCACTACTAGCCTTTGTTGATGTCTGGTTACCACATGTCATGCCTTATTGCATTTTCAATAAAGCAAAGTAAAGAAAGATAAAGCGATACCTTCCTGAGCCCTTCAGGTGACACCTGGCTGTACTCCTGCCAGGGCCAGACCCAAGTCTCCACATAGTCTCCAGGGTGAAAGTCCTTGTGCTTGCTGTCTATGACCACGCCCACTCCCCCACCCTCACAGGCATGGTCCAGTTGCCATGGTGACAGGTAGTGTGAACCTGTGTCCTCATTCATCCTGCATCTCTGTCATGGGGAAAGAGAAAATAGACAATGTGATTGCACCTTAGGTTGTACCAAGGAGGTTATAGTGGAGCTATTTCCATTATTTCCACTCCTTGGTTGTACTGACAAGTAGTTAATGTTAAACATCACAACAGCTCAATCACCCTACCATATATGGGTCCACAGACAGGAACAGAGTCTTGGCCAGAACCTTCCCATCCTGCACCACAGGGTACCCACAATCCTCTGTGCGGAAGTTCTCGGGTCTGGACTCACCGTTCACACCTGTCATTACAGCAACATCAAAACAGTTGCAACATTAAATTTGCATTACAACATTATTGGGTGCCTTCAGTATCCATGATAAGATACACATGTAACGTTACATCACTAAGCCAGAGCTGAATATGGTTCCAGAATGTCAACTTTGCCATAACTAACATAAACATTCTTTGCAAAACCATTTGATCTTTATGGTTCCTAGGCACCATTGTAGTACAGTAAACTATGAAAATGTATTGTGAAAGTCTGATACATGTAGCACATGTACCTATGAGCAAGGACAGCTAACATTATATCATATTCCTGAGTTAAGGTGTGATAATGTTACACACATCATAAATTGAAAATCCTGTTACTGCAGGCCTGCACTTTTACATTTATCATGTTTATATTGTCCACTTGACGACACACACGAGCAAGACATATGCCTCAGGTGGTCACACACGTGAGACTTACCCGGCCGACATGCAAGGACAGTTCTCCTGTTTCTGGGCATCTTTAGTCGCGCTGATCAGGCGAACAGGTAGGTACGTACCGGTATCTACTGGTCACACCGGCATCCAGGCTGACCTTTGTGTGTGAACCGCTAGGGGTCAGAAGTCAGGGCTACTATTACCTGCTTTTGGATCCGGGTCAGAGCTCAGTCAGTCAGTCAGTGTGATGACCATGGTAATTGGTTACAAATTGTTTTTGTGCATTAATAACACAACCCCGCCCCCTCACAAAAAGTGAAAACAACTCATTTTCTATTAGATTTTTTTCAAGGTAACTTAGCGCGCGGTTGACTTTTTGGTTACATAAGACATAATCTGACATATTCTACTGTTATATATTTCTGGCTAAAGTCGGTTCCAAAAAGGTACCAAAACCGATACAAAATACGTGCATGTCTAGACTAAGACAAAGACTCTCTTTTATAACGAATGTGGGGCAGAATTACTTGGGTCAAGAATTCAATCAAAGAAAGTGTCACTTTAAAAAAAAATTGTAACGTAAGCATGGAATCGAGTACATATGGATTGTGCGCATTGTAGTATATGCATGCAAAATCTGGAGGGCTATCAGTTATGCTTATTTTTTAATCATAACTTTAGATTTGATCAATAATAGTCTTGATTTCATATAATAAGTTAGTTGAAAGGGTGTCTCAACTTCGCGGTAAGGCCCTGACATGTGGAATAGACTATCTGTAATTGTAGGGGAGTCTGTATGAAATATATTTTTAATACCATAAAAATAAAACTTATATATCATTAAATTTTTATGATATTAAATATAACACAATTGTTTTATATGGCACTTTAATTTTAGTATACGTAGCTTGTTGGTACAAGAGAAATATGTTGTCCACGTGGCACCAAAATCCCCCACTTACATGATGGTAGGTACTTGGTATTATCGCCCTATTGGCCAATCAGAGTGACGGTGGGCGTGTCACGTCCACCATTGTGGAAGCTGATGGTTAGCAGCAAACTGCACCCACATCGCGGAATAGTAGGCTGCAGAAGCAGTCCAACGACTACTTTTTCATTAAAGCCCCAGGCAGATTTTAACCTGGGACTGTTGAGAATCCATCTAGACAATCGTTAGATAATTTGGACCCTGTCGAGCACGAGGCGACCGGCAGTTGAGCGGCGTTTCGTGAGAGTGGACTCCTCATCAAATCTATAGCTGCGCGCACCGACTTCCGCTGAAGCTTATCACAGAAGTGGAAGTTCATCTCGCAAGAAGTGAGTGGTTTTCTTGTCTGAGTAGTTTCACTTGGCACAAAACTTTGTGTGGGGCAGGTTTGTTAATACAGATTTATCCTATTTTTCTGCAGGAGCGGCGATTGGGGCCCTGTGGCGTGTCTGGTGCAACTTAGCACGCCGGTAACCTTTGTACCTTGGCTGGAGCATCCGGCTGAGTGTCCACGTAGACAGAATCCAGAAGTTGGAGAGGCCCAGCGCTAGCCTGAGGTGGACGTGACGCGGATATGGATGTGTCTGACCCACAAACTCTGGCCATTGCCGTCTTTGGCGGCTTTGTGCTAGTGTCTGCCATCTGTATTTTCCTGGTCTCAACCTTCGGCATGAAGGAGACGACCTACGAGGAGGCGATGGAGCGGCAACGCCGGGCTATCGAGCGGGAGATGCAGCAGTCTCGTGCCGAGAAGCAAAAGGCCCGGGAGAAGAAGCCGGCCCGGTTCAACAAGAAGGAGAAACCCAAGAAAGAGCCGTCTGGCTTGCCTGAGCCTCAGCGCGAGACGTCTTCATCCCCACGGGTCCAAGAAGTCAAGCCATTCGCCGAGCAGAAGGCACAGCCCGAGACGCCGCCGCCCCAGCCGCAGCCCAAAGCCAAGGGCAAGTCCAAGGATAAGAATAAGGAGAATCAGGCTCCCAATAAGGAGCAGACAGCCCCCGCGGCCCCCAAGGCGGCGGTGAAGACGGTGGAGCCACGTGTGGCCAAGGCCCAGCCACAGCCAGTGCCGGTGCAGGCCGCGGTACGTGTGGCCCCTGCGCCCAAATCAGCCCCCGAGCCCGCCCGCCAGACCCTGGCCAAGGAGACCATCAAGGCGGAAGCTGAGCCCGTGGCCCAGCAGGTGGTGGCCCCTGCCCCCAGCAAGAAGAAGAAGACCAAGATCGAAGCCGCTGTCACCGTGGCAGGTAAGTACATCGTAACTCGCCCCTCCCCCTTATTACCACGCAGGTATTCTTAACAGGTAGTAGCCCTAAAGGTGAGGCAGGTTGATTAGACTATTAGAGAAATGATCACCAATTTTCACAGACACAGGCCTGATTAAGCAACCTACATCCCAATCAACTCTAGATCGATCTACAAATTTATATATCACTGCACACACTAGCAAGGTTGAACTTGAAGGATAGGGGAGCATGCTTGGGGTATCAATTAATAACTGTTCCCCAAGAAAAATAATTTTGTATGTCTAAGTTCCCAGGTGCAGAAAGATTGAATTATTTACTAGGTATCCAAAGGTATTTCCCCAGGTCTGCTTTGAATTTTATCTGTCAATCACTTACTACCTGTATTTGGTATTAGTATGCATATTATCTGTTGGATTAAAACCCAAGTGAAAATTAAGAAGCTCAAGGATGATCACAAAATATATCATCACATATATTTTCTTTTTTGAATTAACCTCCTTGCTGCCCAACTCCATAACCAACACAAATTTGGTGCCAACTGACTACCTTAGCAGAGTGAAGGTTAACACTTAAGTGTCTACCATAGATTGAAAAGCAGGTGTGGTAAATGATATCCTGAAGTCTGACTGTTGGAAGGAATGGATACCTTATTCAATTAGTATTGTTTAGCTGGTTGAAAGGAACACTCAAATTGGCTATTATATCTGGGCAGAGGGTTCAAGTCAAAAGAAATAATATATACAAGGTATTCTTTACTATTCCTGCCAACAGGCGTCAGATTTTTGTTCGTAATATCTACAGCATTACTGTTCAAAATTTTAAAACATATTTTTGACATCCATATTGTTTTTGAAGCTCCAAAGGTAAATCCAATATGTTGCCCACATTATCAAGTACACCTATCCATTTCATTGCATTAGGTACCATCTTAAAGGAAAATCATGGCTTGAGCACTTGCAGTTGGAGTGCCTCGGTGTCCACAGTATGTCTTTAGATAGTGCACGATTGTACCCTTTCTTGTGTCTGTGGAAAAACTACACTGTATTACTGTAAATCACTTTATAGACACGGTAGCAAAATTTTGCGGTCTCAGAAAAATGGACACGGTGTTCGCAGAGCTATATTTTCACAGCGGCGGCAGGTGCAGAAGAAAGTTGTAGAATGAATTGTTTGTGGGAATGACGAAGAGGTACAGAAGTGAATATAAAAGTACCACAAATATAAAGTTATTTACAGTATTCCAAGATAATCTCAACGTCCTAAGTGTACATGCAGAAGTGAGAACTGTTACAATATTACACCTGGTCATACATATAAAAAAGTCCAGAAAATTCAATAGCTCGCCTGAGCCGCTCCCTCTCGAACTAAGTAAACTTTCGTCCAGTGACTTCCTTCTCAATATAAAGGCTTTTTTCATCAGGAATGCTGGTGTCGTGATGCTTAAAACGTTCACTTCCTCGAGAGCAGAATTCGGTTACCAGGCGTGCATGCCAAAAATAGAGCAGGACTCCTGTCAGACTTGTATTTGGCAGTACCTGCTTGTAACTAGGTTGTATTGGAAAGTATGTAGCTGAGTCAGGGTTTGGTTGTATAATCCACTTGTCTGGGAAATCTACCAGGCAGTACTGGGTCACAGGCCATGTGACTGTACATTACCGGCACTACTGTGTAGGTCAGTACTGTACACTTAGGTGTGGACACCATGTGACCTGGAACCTGGACAATAAGACATAAAGGGGTCGTTGAACTTTGTAAACTTTAGCCATTTACTGCAGTTCTACGTAAAGGCTAAGCTAATAGGTTGAGAGGGAACGGGTTTTCTGCGCGTGAAAAATTTGCGCGCGCGTGAAAAATTTGCGCGTGAAAAATTAAAGTCCTTTGAAAATGTCAGAAAATATGCAGTACCAAATTCTAATGCAGAAAAATGTTACCCTGTAACATGATTTTCCATCTACAACCTGAAATTTCGGTTTGAATTTTTAGGTCCCTTGGGAATAGGTTAATTTGCATATCTTCCAAGAAACATTAAAATTAAAAATTACTTGAATTTGCCAGAAAAACATGGAACAGTTACTAATACAAGGTTTTGTATTGTTAAATTTAACAATTCCAGGCTTTTCTCCATTCTATAAGCTTGATTTGGCATTTTATGAAGCAGTTTCTTTCACGCGCAAATTTCAAACTTTTTTGCGCGTGAAAACTTAAACTTTGAAAATCACCTAAAAGTCACTGAAAAGTTTACAAAACAAGGCTATGTACTCTAGAATGTGATAATATGATACTCAATTCTATTTCATGACTTTTCATCTATATTTTTAAGTCCAAAACAGCAAAAAGTTTTTAAATCCCTTGGGAATCGGCTAATTTGCATATTTTCACGCGCAAATTTTTCACGCGCGCGCAAATTTTTCACGCGCACAAAACCCCATCTCTACATTGAGAGACAGTTACTGGGTTGAAAACGTAAGTAGAAAAGGCCATTAGGTGTCAAAAGAAATTTTGACGTCCTTCCTACAACCGTTGATGGACTACATAATGGCGAAGTTCACTCTTCCATTGACAACAAAACCGGCTCGCATTCCGGGGGGGGATGATAGATCGTTGTTGACTATGTTTGAACACGTTTGAACGTGTGCATTTTAACACGAATTCCATTCTTAGGCCACACCAATTTAATTTGTTGGTTCTCGGATTCGCCTCTTCATTTTTTCTGATTTGCAAAAAAAAAAAAAGACTGGTTCTGAATCAACTAAAAAATGCTCATATTTTGCCTCCAACAGTTGAGGAAAGTCCTTTTCCTTCTAGTTCTTACAGTTCCTCCATCTATCAATGCAGTGGTTTGATTAAAAGTTCAAAATTCATTGTTTAAATTTTAACCCAGCCTTTTGTGTTGACTTCATGTCTCCTATTGTAGCATTTGGGGCTATAATAGGATGCCTAGACCTGTTTTGTTTTTGTTTTTCGCCCTGTCGCTTCATATTTTTTCTGAACAAATCCGAGAACCAACAAATTAAATTGGTGTGGCCTTAGCCTGTATCATTAATGTTAATTTTTGCAGTGTCCTGCAGCACGCTTTGTATCAAAAAATGGAGAAGAAATGCTGATTTCAGGCATGGAGAGAAGGAAATTGAAATTTGTATACCCCTTCAAGTTCAAAGAAGTGAATGTCTAGATTTAACATGTTCTCAGACAATCAAGTGCAGATTAGTGGGGAGGGTTGATTTAATGCCTCTGCTTCCACAAAAAATGTATAATTTTCATTCCATATTTTATGGCCATTGCATAAGCCTGGTTTTGAGGCTCG